CAGCATTGAGTAGGAACTTCGAAAAAATCATTCAGAAAATACAGAATCACTTGTCGCGACTGTCATTGGACGCTTACCTATACATCTACTGTATTTGACTTAGTTCTGGAAGACTCCAGAGGCCCAAGGGCACGGGTAACAACATAAATACAACCATAAATACCCCCGTTTTTCCGTACATATGCCAAATTTGAATTTAAGTGTTCTTTTTAGTATTTTGCACCTTTTCTCCTGTGTTCACGTCGTCGTGAAGATAAGAGCCTAATATATATAGCCCCCACCATAGCCATTATGATGCAATTTGGTACAGAACAAATGGGATGTGGCTAACAGTCGAATCCAGAACTCACGTCTTATTTGTAACTCATTAGCTACATGTATTCGCATCCAAGTTTTGATGTCTCACAGTGATCATCATGTACCTTAGGATGCTGGTACATGCAACTGACGAGTTGTTATAAATCGAATGAAACCTTTCTCTGGACTTCTCTGTTAGCCACAGTCCATCCAATTAATAATGTGTGAATTGTAATTTTATATTGCATAAAACTGCATATAAAGCGTGTCATTTTTCCTAACTTTAAGTTAAATTCAAACTAAGCCCTGTTTTCTGGTATCATCCCGTTGCTCAATAGTGTATTACATTCTTACAGTAGTAATTACACTTCTTGTCGATTTACTTTATATCACTGCAAGTTCATTTCAACTACCGTATTCAAATCCACTCCATTATATCAATAGTCCGTCTATTGTTCAAATAAAATTAAATTACCAAGTACAAGTTTATATACTCAACTTAAAGTCACATTGTGTGTATGATGTTGTATGAAAGATATTTATTGATGCTACAAATCAGTTATTTAAATAAAATTATTTGAGTTAGATGTAGGATCCAAATTGAGGTTTGGACTGAGGAATAACTGTCTAGGTAGTTTAGATACGCGCCTTGTCCAGTTTAAATCCAAAACAAGTGATTTGGGTAAATGACGCTTCTAATATTCATCATAAATATAAATATACATCATTACCTAAACGAATATTACCTAGACAGTTATTCCACCAACAATTATTTAGCTAATCAAATCAACAGAAACGAATAGATGTTATTCTATCCTTCCTGGATAGATCAGATTCCTTCAAAAGATAATATTTGGTTGCTTCATAACACAGAGTGCTTCAATTCACAATCAAAATGCACAATTCCAGTCCTTGCAAGCGACACAAACAAAAGAGGAACAAATCAATATGGCTGTAGCCATGACTGAGTATCACAGCTTAAAAAACACAATCGCAGTTCAGAAAGAAACATAGAAAATCAATAAAGGCAAAAGAAGCAGAAACTATAATAAAATACAAATATTATCACAAAATGGAATCGAACAGACTAACAAAATGATACAACCGAAGAAATCAATTAGAACAAATTACAAATATATACATGGAGAGGGATTTTCACAAACAAAGCCTTCAAAAAAAAAATGGATCTTACATTAGAATTCAAAACTTCAACTCGTTTATTTTTGTAGGTCCATTACTCTATTAAAAACAACAAAAAGTTTATTTGAATACTTATCAGTGTTCAATTACTTTGTTTAAATTGCCTTTCATTGATTCACTTTCCTGTTTGTTTATGTTGCCATAGCCTACCAGAAAGAAAGAAAAAAATATCAAAGACTCGACTATATTAATTCAAATTTATCTCCAATTTATTTTCTCACTACCATTTTACTTACGTGTGTCTTTTTTACTCTTTTAACTTGATCACATTCGAATAGTGTAGTTTTGGTTTGTTTGTCTGTTAATATATTACTACAGTGAACATTCTGCCTCCTGCATTGTCTTTATTATGTATGTATCGATCGATCAGTGAGTTTGAAACTCACACTGAATCGTCGTCGCTTTATTGATTGATACATTGATACAGGAAATGCCTTGATTAATCTATAATTCGGTTAATATGTAGTATATATGTAGTTAAAGAGAACACAGGTGGGAGGGCAACCGAATAGTATTTAACGAAAATTACAGAGTTGTTACTCAGTCAAATCGGAAAACCATATCGTAAATTGTTCATTTGCAAAATATCAGTTCATCATCATATCGAACTGGACTGTTCCTGTTGCAAAACATCATCAATCCATTGTCACTCACTATTCATGCGTTTCATACAAATTGCATTGTGTTCTATCTAACTCTTCCTTTCTCTTGATCTTCCCCTTGATCTTCTGCTGCCAGACATTACGTTGACACTCACGTCATATACTACTTATAAGTAGCTCACACCACATATATATATATATGTATATTTACTGTCCATAAAATGAGTTTACAAATTTATTTCAATATTGTTATTTTTATCATTTATGTATTGATATTTTATTTGTTGAAAAAGGTCAGGCTTGTTTCTGTTTTGTTTTTTCAATTATTTTCTAAAGTCTATTGGTTTCCGCAGTGTGAATTTGATCATGAACAATTGAGCTTTTTCCAATTGATGAATTGTATTTGAAACCCCTTTGTCTCTCTTGCGCGTGGTCTTTGTCTTTCTACTTGTAGTAAAATACTTCATAGACTACTTTCAGTTCAGTGATTAGAGCGTTCGGCTTTTAGCTATAAGGTCCTAGACTTTATTCCATGTACTTCGGTTTCGATGACTGCGGTAGCTTTACTAGCCTTCACGCTTAAAGTGCTGTTACCGGTGTGAGCTCGGTTGTATTTTTCCGGCTGCCTACACCGTGGAACGGTGTTTCTTGAGGAACCTGAAAAGGAAGGTAGATTAGTGTCAGCCTTAGAGACCTAGGAGCGTGACCACAGAGCCCAAGGGACAACTGCTTGAGGCCGGTCACGCACAGTCTTTCTATGGGAGGTTTTTAGAGTATTAGCTCCTCTCTTAAAAGCCCTTGTTGGACAGCCCTTACCAGCGGAGACGGAATTCCGTGAGGTAAGGTGAGATGCGACATTTTCACAGTTGACCTTTCCTAATACTTAAAGTGTAACTCGAAGCCAGGTATACAACATCTGTACATTGTAAGTATGTGCAAATAACTCCGATTTTTAGTCACTATGTTAGTTCACATTCTTCTTACTCTTTTTAGTCAATTTACAATATTCTGCGCATTATTCAAATATCGTAAACTAAATAAATTAACGTTTTTTTAAAAATTAGACTGGTTTGTATAGAACTGTCATCATCATCTCCAAAATTTGACAAATATTCTTCATTACTATTGGAGATGTTAGATCCCCAAAATTAGCTTGATCAATGCCTTATTTTGGTTTTCACGTTTGCCAGCATGGGTTGATCAGTTGACCTTGAGATTTCAGTTCCCACCAGGAAAATCCATGTCTGTGATTGACTACTGTGTATTTTAGTGTGCTATTTTCTTAACTGTCCTAAGGACGTTTCTATGATGTATAAATAAACGAGAGTTGTATGCTTGTTTGTACTGTGTGATTGCTGGGTGTTTGTAGAATATACTTTCTACGCTTACAAAGCCTTTTCACTTCAGCCTTGGATTCAAGGTAGCCTACCTGGACGCTGGTAATTGTCTCGTTCGCGTTTATCGACTAAGGTAAACTTGTAATAGCAGCCTCAAGCATACTAAGTGACGAACATAACAATTACACATCTATATAATCGTTAATCATAATCATAATAATAATAATAACAGTTAGTTATGTAGACGCATTAATTGTCTATTGATGCCTTGTTTTCAATACACTGCACACTGTTATTATCACTGATCTATAATCTCTTTTTTTAATGCTTAGTCACATATTTCAATCTAATAAAATTTAATTGGTAACTACAGATATCAACTCTTGTTTATGCTCTAGGTTAACAGTTACTTTTGGTGTTTTTTGTATGCCTTACATTTTGTTACAGACATAAATTTTTTTGTTAGGAAATTTGAAGGATATTTATTTTTACTCAAGGAATTTAGTCCCTTTTTTCGAATCTGTTAATAAAACTCTGTGATCTAAATATTTAACTAAATTTTATTTATTTTCCAAAGGAATAATGCTCAGTCTAATTGGTTTATGATGAACAATCACTCTTTTTATTCATCCTCTAAATCTCATCAATAACCCGACCGTAGCTGCTACCTTGACGTGATGGTAGGGCTTGTCTATCGTGATAACCCGACCAAACTATATTGGCTGGAACATATATTCTTGGAGGTTCCACCATGCCAGGCGGGTCGATTGGAGGACGGTATGACTAAAAGCAGCTACTCAAGGTCTGAGGGCGAAGTCGTACTGCTGGCTGTAGAGAGATGTGACAGCAGTAAGGTTTCTCTCTCTCTGACAACCAGCACCTGCAGCGATGCTGCCTTCTGACAAGGAAGGAAGTTGTTAGAAAAGGTCGACCCTAAAAATGCCACACGTCATCTGACATCATGGATTTCTGACTCCAGCGGTAAGGTCTTTTGAAGAGCGGAGCTAACACGTTAAAAAAACTTCTCACAAATAGGCCTTGCGCAACGCGTTTCAAGCAGTTGTCCCTCGATCTCCACGGTCACGCTCCCAGGTCCCTAAGACCAACAGTAATCCAACTTCCTTTTCAGGTTGTCACGGTGTAGTCAGCCGGAAAGTGACACGTGACTTCATACGCGTAACAACACATGAGACTAACTAGGTCTCAATTAAATCCATCCTTCGTACACCCTCTAACTTCTCTCTTATCTCAACGACCAACCCTTCTTTCATTCCTTCATCACCTCGCGCCGCTCATCAATAAGACAAGACGTGCTAGATTGGGTATTTCAGTTTTTTTTTTTACTGTATATTTCAAAGTACAAACTAATTTCTTAATTCATTAAATCAAGTATCTTTACTACTGAGTATCAATTAACGGGAAATTTAAGTCTACAGTTTATGTTTGTTGTCGTCTGCCTTTAATCACACTTAAAACTTTTTCTTTTACCTTATTGATATTCATTTGTGATGATTATTATGTTTGTGTCGACTAAAATGAAAAACTAAAATACTTTACACTTTAGAACCACCGATACCAGTCCGTGGTTATGATCAAACGGATATTGATTTGGTGAATCAAATTAGAATCTCATCTCGTCAATTGGATACTGGTACTTCATGTCAATCAACTGACCATCATCAGCATCATGACGTTGAACTATGCAGTAAAGTTCCTACAGGTTAGTAGTGTAGGTGAATTATAATCCTTTTTTTTTCTATTGTTTATTCTTATGAAAAAAAGTTGAAAAATTGCCAGCATTTGTCTGGGGGACTGATTCTCAAAGTAGACAGACAGACGAACAGACACGGATACAACGCAGAACTTCGTATGTACGTGTACATCAGTTCAGGTTGCCATACCACGTCAGAACAGAGACGTAACTGTCAGTTCAAATCCAAGAGTGATAGGGATAGTAGAATTATTAGCAGTAATCGAGAAGATTAGGGAGCGAAGATATCATTCGAGAAGTGTATAATTCAGTAAGATAAATATAGAAGGAGAAAGGTAGAGAATTTGAGGAATGCAGAAGGTTAGAACTAGAGAGAACACAAAGAGTAGATGCACCTGTTCCATTGCAAACGATTCTGAGCCATGTCATTCAAGGTCTCTAACCATTGGTGACTTTCGTCTCGCGAACCCTAACCAGATAGGCTACATCTACCAACATGACTCAGTCCACTTGTCAATGACTTCATGGATTTCTGCCATATTTGGTTTGGCCGCCCCCTAGCTCTCTTCCAATATAATCTTTCTAAATTTGATTCTCAAAATATAAATGAGTCAATTGATTTATCAAATTACGTAACTGCTAATACCATTATTCATTGGATACGTACTTTATCAAAAGTGTTATTGATATATATAAATCATTGTTTAACAAAAATAGTTTAACTTTATTAACAGACGAAATCCATGCACTAACATGTGTTTATTTGTAATGATCTTGAAAGCGTGTTTCTTGTAGCTAATATTGGTATTAAAAATTCAACAATACTAACTTAAACTATATGGCTTTTAGTGAAAATAACAAGTTTGAGATACTTGAATATTGTGTTTTAAGCATGTTTCACTCACCACCTACTTCGCACATACTCAATGCTGACTGAGTTTGGAGGAGGTTGAAAAAAATGCTTCATAAAATGGCTAAACCGATATATCGATACCAATTTAGTTAAGTTGATTGATTCTTAGTTTTTAAGTGATTCGGTATGGGCAAACTAGATCTTATAGATATATGAGCTGCTTGCTGCATGCATTGTACTAACAAGGTCTATCAACTCTTAGCATGATTAAGGTTAAATACGATTTCTTGATTCCAAATCATTAACGATAAGTATATGCCCCTTTCAAACACTTGATACAAATTTACCTAGTTACTTTTTAGATCTCTCTCAATTATTACTTAACCTCAGTTTCGAATAAATATTTCTATTATTATAAGAATGAAAGCTTTACTTTAGACATGAGTTCATTTATGTGTACAGAAAACTACAATGGTGTTACGATGCACCTTCATTACGTCAATTGATATGCTTGAATGCTATTACAAGTTCATCTTAATCGGTAAACGAAAGTGAGGACAATGGTCCAGTGACACGATAGGCTACTCTAATCCGAGCGTCCCAAGCCCCATGAAGTAGTAGAAGAAGTCTTGATATGGCTTAGAAAGTGTATTCTACAATCACCCAGAAAATATGAGGTCCAAGTCTAAAAGCGAATAAGAATCCTGAAATAAAGATCCGGATCATAATAAGTTACAGACAATGCATATTTATACAGTTAGGTCGATTAGGAAACAACATTTGAAGTAAGTGACATTGATAGTTAGGACGACCAAATAAGGATTGACCAACAGACCGTAGCTGCTACCTTGACGTGGTGGTCAGGCTTGCCTATCGTGATGACCCAACCGAGCTATATTGGCTGGAACATATGTTCCTGAAGGTTCTACCATGCCAGGCTGGTCGGTTGGAGAACGATGAGACTAAAAGCAGCTACTCAAGGTCTGAGGGCGAAGTCGTACTGCTGACTGTGATGGAGGTATGCGACAGCAGTAAGGTGTTTCCCTCAGACAACCAGCATCTGCAGCGATGCTGCCTTCTCACAAGGAAGGAAGGGTTAGAAAAGGTCGGCCCTAAAAATGTCACACTCCCCCTAACTCACGGATTTCCGTCTCCCTGGGTAAGGGTGCCCACTAAGGGCGTTTAAAAAGAGCGGAGCTAATACTCAAAAAACCCTTCATAAAAAGGCCGTGCGTGATCGGCCTCAAGCAGTTGACCCTTGGACTATGCGGTCACACTGTCAGGTCTCTAAGACCAACTCCAATATACCTTCCTTTTCAAATTCCTCAATACACAACCTTCCACGGTGTAGGCAGCTGGGAAGTGACAACCGCCCTCATACCCGTAACAGCACACGAGACCTAATCGTCTGTCTATCTTTTAGGATATTTGATGAATATTTCTACTCTATTTTTCTTTCTTTATCTTCTCTCCATCTCGCTCTCTCTCTCCAATTGTCGTTTGATGATGATGATGATGTCATTGGATCTTAATAACTCCATTGAAACAAATGATTATCGCTGTATAAAAAAAATGCTCATGAATTATTATTATTATTATTATTATTATTATTATTATTGAGCTGATAATAAACCATCGCATACATATATATCTGATAATAATTTACCCCAGTGCTCAACAATCCTACCAATCATGTTTATCATCAATGTTTCAATGATTCCGAAGTAAGTTTATTATTATTCATTGACAATTTAATACAATAAAAAATTCAATAAAAATACTGTTAGTTCTAAATAAATATATTAGAACATTTATGTTATACTGTGAATTTACACATTTTTCGAAACCATGAATCGATCAATGTTAGACCACCATTAGAAACCTGGAAGAAGCACTGGACGGCCGTTTCGTCCTTGTATGGGACTCCTCAGCAGTGCGCATCCACGACTCCTGCACCCCGCAGGATTCGAACCCGGGACCTTCGGTACTATGTGCAAACGCCCTAACTGTTAGACCACTGAGCCGGTATCTAACAGTGTTAATGTCTAACTTGATCAAATTCACGGAGTTGCGCAACCTCATACACAGTCTTCGGTAGACACTGCCTACACACGAACAGGTTGAACTTCACTACTGGTCACGTCTTCCCACTAGAACTCGGAGAAGATTCCTCACGAAGCTAGTCACTAGTGAGCACAATCTTCACAACCCTTTACATCATTTAAACAAAAACTAAAGAATATGGGACATTGAACAAATTTTAAAAAACCTAATAATCACAACTGAATTCTTTTCCATAATTAGCGTAAGTACATACACATCTGTGATTATAAATGAATTTTTTTACTGTGGAAACATCTGGGAACGACGCTGAAAGAAATAGAAATGTGTTATTCATTACAACGTTTTGGAGATTGGTGTTTTTT